GCTTAACGAAGCTCGTTTTTGACCTTGTGTGTGCATGTGCACATGTGTGTGTGTGTGTGTGCACGTGTGAAATATGGCACGTTTTGCATTGTTTTTTTGCATGGTTTTAGCATGCATGGGATCGGCTCCTATGAGGAGCGATCGGGAGCATGGAGCTTGTGCAGTTGCAAGCTTAATTTGGTCGCATGCAATCGGCTCGAGCGATGCATGGCACGACAACATGTCTGCTGTTGTAAGCCCTACTAGGAGGTCGAACTCGGCAAAGCCCGAAGACCTAGTGAAAGTGCTCAGGGCCCACCTGCCACAGGGCCTTGACAAGAAGTACTTAGACCATGAGCCTGGCATGCTTGTGCAAGCATATGAAGACATCATCAGCGATGTGCTTTTGAGAACCTCTCGCCCCACCAAATCCTTGTTGCAAAGTGCTGCTGTGAAGGCCTGGCAAAATGTCAAGACGAGCGAGGCTGAAACATGGGGTTCGCAGGTAGCCAAGGCTGTGAGTTGGTGCTACAACAAGCGGCTTCAAGTGAGCACCGGTGTGAAGTTGAATGCTGCTGTTCGCAGAATCATCCAGCAAATCAACAAGCAGAGTTTTGGTGTCAGAAAGACTGAGGCAGATATCGCAAAAGATCCCCCAAGTCGCAAGAGGGCCTTGAAGCCCACCCTTTCCCGCACCAGCAAGCAAAGCCAGGCCAGCCGAGAGTCACTGCCCAAGAATAAGAAACGATGCAGCAGCACCAGTGTCGACGAGCTTCGCAAGATCTATGGGCTCCCATTAATGTCCTCGACTGCTGCCAGCAGCAGCTCCAATGCCCAGCCCGATCTCCCCGGCAGTAGTCTCATCGACCTCGATGCTGAGACTGTGAGCTCCGAAAGCTCGGATGTGAAGTGCAAGGGTCAGGAAGCACCAGCTGGCCTGGAGTACTTCGACAGTAGCTCTTGCAAGATGGTTCGTTGGAGTTCGGGCAAGAAGATCCTCAGTGCCCAGATGACAGAGGGTCCCAATGGGTTCGCCTTGGTCGAGTGGCCAGGCGAGTCACCCGTGGAGACAGAAATTCCCAACTTGGCTTTGCAAGGTGCTGGCCTGAGGCCCCAAGACAAGCCCAAGCCCAAGGCCAAGAGTAAAGCCAAAGGCAAAGCCAAAGGCAAGGCTGCGAAAAGACCTGCTGCTGCCCCCGGCCCCGAAGCAGATGCTCCATCTGATGCTCCTGCAGAAGATGCTCTAGATGCTGCCCCGACCAGGCCAAGCTATGAGTACAACCCTGCTGATCCCGTGCCCGAGAATGCCCTGTACTCCTGCATGTACTACAAGAACAATGCGATTGGAATCCGCATCACAGTGAAGCACGAAGGTGGCAAGCTTGAAAAGCAGGTTTTCAGCTTTGGAGGTACCCACTGTGGCAAGACTGAGGAAGAGCTGAGGGATATGGGTAGGGTCGCTGTTGCGAAGATGAAGAACGATAGGCAACCCCCAGCTGTCGTGAAAACCTGGTGCGACGAGCAGATCTTCCACTGACTCGTCCAATATGAGGCAGGCCTGTAAAGAGAGATAGGTTTTGAGAGAAAGAAGACGGAGGGCTGCATTGCGCGCTTTCATGGCTGCCCTACACCACACATGCAGATCTATGTGCTATGATAACTTCGTCGGTTTTGTTGCCGTGTGGGGAACTCAGTTTTGGGTGTCAAGGCACTGGCCTCCCATGGGGAGGCCATAGGGTCTGTGCATCGTCCAGGTCGCTCAATGTTGGTGTGGTGAACTCAGTTTTGATGGCCTCCCATGGGGAGGCCATACCTAAAACTGCATGGCCTCGAGGTGCAAATGGATCTACATGTGCCCCCCCGCTTTCGTTGTGTGTGCCTGTTTTGGGTTTGAGGAATTGAAGTTCGATGTCGTTTGTGTTGGGGGCTGCATGCGTGGTCGGGAGAGAGTGCAACCGGAAAACATACGGATATATACGACATATAAATAGATAAAGAAACACACATATATATACACCAACCCAAGTGAATTTCAATTGCCCCAAACCTTTATATAAGTGTCTTATTTTCCCCAGACCCTAGAAAGACCCGAAGACCTAAACCCCTTGATGTTAATCTTGACAGGTACAATATCAATGGTGTGGCTGGCGATTGGCAGATGGATCCGAGGACTGCTGGGCTAGGCATATCATTCCATAAAGACCCAGCCCTTAAGCCCCTAAGCCTCTGAGGACCTTACATGTTAACGATCTGGAGCATGCATGTGCAGCACGTGTGAAGTCGACCGGCCACTGCCCCTTTGCAGGCTCACGAGCTCGGTGCTGCGATATCCCACCCGAGCCCTGCAACTAAACTCTACAACCTAAACCCTTATATAGCTCTAAACCCTTAACCCTTAACCCGAAATAGAAACCCTTAACCCTTTAAACCCTCAACCCTTAACCCTAGATCCTTAACCCTTAACCCTAAACTCTAAACCCCTTGAGGTCGTGTATAGGCTGGGGTGATTGCACTGTCACACACAGATCATGTACTGCACGATGCCAGAACAAGTTTAAGCTCTACAGTTAGTCGATTCTCTCTCTCTCTCACACACTCTCTATCTCTCTCTCTCTCTCGCTGTCTCACTCCATGGCCGATTGCGAGAGTGAGGATTATTCACCAGCTGCTGTGGAGAGGTTTTTTGGGCAACTGGCTGCAGAGCAGAGGGGGGGCGATCCCGAGCCGAACTCGATCGCGAGATCGAGCTCGGGCTCGGGATCTAGGAGGAGCCGGTCGAGGAGGCGAAGATCCTCGTCGACCTCTTCTTGGAGGAGGAGGAGGCAGAGGAGGAGGAGGCGAAGATCCTCTTCTAGCAAGAGGAGGAGGCGAAGATCCTCTTCGCCAAGGAGGAGGAGGCGAAGATCCTCTTCCTCGCCAAGGAGGAGGAGGCGAAGATCCTCTTCTTCGCCAAGGAGGAGGAGGAGACGAAGATCCTCTTCGACCAGCAGGAGGAGGAACAGGAGGTCCGTGCGGAGGAGTCCTCAGGAGGAGGTGGCATCGGAGGAGGTGGTAAGTGAAGGAAGGGAAGAAGAAAAGGAGGTGGAGGCACGGGAGGAGGCGGTAGGAGAAGAAGAGACAGAAGAGGAGGAGGTGGCAGTGGAGGAGGTAGGTGAAGAAAAAGAAAGGGAGGAGGTGGCATTGGAGGAGGTGGTAAGTAAAGAAAAAGAAGAGAAAGAGGAGGTGGAGGCAGTGGAGGAGGCGGTGTGTGAAGAAAAAGAAGAGAAGGTGGTGGAGGAGGAGGCACAAGCTGCAGAGGAGCCGAGAGGATCGCGAGATATTTTTCAGGAGGTGGAGAATGAGGAGGTGGAAGAAGGGTGGAATGAGGAGGTGGAAAAGGGGTGGACAGAGGAGGACTGGGAGATCTGGCGGGAGGTGCTGCGAGCTGGTGGGAAGAACAAGGGCCGGAAGCGACGGCTGGAGATGTTCCAGAGGCATAAGTACCTCAAAGCCCAGGGACTCTGGGTGGGAGGGAGGTGCCACCCAGAGGGCCGAGAGGCCCGTATGGAGGCCCGACCAAAGAGGAGGCCATGAGAAAAAGAGAGAGAGCCAGCATGTGCAAGGGCTTAGGGTTTAGGGTGGTCCAGGGCTTTTGGGGTGAGGGCAAGCATGTGCAGCGAGCATGAGTGTCATGAGTCTGCAGTTGCCTAAACCCTAAACCCTAAACCCTAAACCCTACACCCTAAACCCTAAACTCTAAACACTAAACCCTAAACCCTAAACCCTAAACCCTAAGCCCTAAACCCTAAACCCTAAACCCTAAACCCTAAACCCTAAGCCCTAAACCCTAAACCCTAAACCCTAAACCCTAAGCCCTAAACCCTAAACCCTAAACCCTAAACCCTAAGCCCTAAACCCTAAACCCTAAACCCTAAACCCTAACACGTTCTGGTTGTTTGCTTCTCTCTCCCTCTCTCTCTCTCTCTCTCTCTCTCTCTCTCTCTCTCTCTCTCTCGCTCGCCCATGCAGGACCTGGCTTTGGTGGTGGTGGCCGGGCCCGGGCTCTGAGAGTGCATTGCGCGGTAAACCCTACACCCTACTTAAACCCCTAAACCCTAAACTCCAAAAACCTTAAACCCTGAAAACCCTAAACCCTAAACACCTCAAACCTTATAAAAACCCTGAACCACCCAAACCCTAAAGATTACACAAGTGTTGGTTCCCAAAAGCTTAAAAATCATGAAGCCTAAAACCCTCAAACCCTAAGAGGCCCAAACCCACTCAACCCCAAAAAGACAACTCAAACCTTATAAAACCTTGAGCCCCTCGAAAGCCTAGGGCCTTAAGGCCATCTGAATCCAAAGAACTCTTAAAACCTTAAACCCTCTAAACCCTAAAACTCCTAAACCCTAAAACCCCACACCCCAACACCCTAAAGCCTAAGAACCCTCAACCCCTCAAAACAAAACAGTCAACTCTCCAGGCTCTCAGCCCTGAAAACCCTTAGGCCCAAAACCCTGAACCCTGGGCCGGAAACCTTAAGCCCTACCAAGTTCCACACCCTCCTCTGAGGAGGGCCTCCCCTGGGGAGGTAGTAGCTATTAGAAAATCCTCCACTCAGGAGGCACCCCCCCCCCCCGCCCAGAGAAGCAACATCAACCAAATCCTCCCCAACATTGGAGCCACCCCAACCTGTTAAAAAAAAACTTTTTTTTAACATTTTTTTAACGGGATTTTCCTTTAAAAGTAAAGGCAAAGCCCGTTAAACAAATATTAAAAAAAAGTTTTTTTTTCACAATCATCCCTGCCCATTCCTAGGTCTGTTCATCGGCAAGGGCCAGGCACCGGGGCTGCTGCAGCTTGAATCCTTTGAGGATTCGAGCTCTGAGTTTTTAGTGAGGGTTGAGGGTCATCCCCTGGGGATGCTTGCATGCATGTGGAGTGTCAGACAGCTGCATCCATGGTGAATGTGTATGTCCATAGGCATCATCAGTGAACCCCGTTCGGCCCGTAGATTGTCCCGGCCAGCCTCAGCGAGCATCATGGGCAAGAAGGCTTCTCCCGTTCCCAAAAAAGCTGCAGTCAAGAGCATTGCGAAACCAAAGGCGAAGCCCAAGGCGAAGCAGCTTCCAGAGAAGCCGACTGCAACCACAGCAGACGATCGAAAGAACATGTCTGGCTTCGTCACGTCCATGAAGTACAAGCAGACTGCCCAGAACAACAAGCACAGCACCATAGCTCAGAAGTTGCTGGAGGCCCTGTGTTCTGAATGAATGTGCTTTTGCTTTTTGTGTGTCGGCTGTTTACACGTGTACATGCATGTCGCTGTGCCCTGTTCAGAAGTACAACACCTTGGACAACGATGGAAAGAAAGAGATGGCCAGCAAGTATTCCGAGCACGGGCCCAAGGACTTGACGTGGGCGGCGGCATACATCGAGACGAGCACTCATGACGAACAAACAGAACGAGAGAAAATCAAAGGCATGTGCACTCGCAAAGAAATTTTGGACATGGAGGGCATTGACACGGAAGGCATGCCAGAGAAAATGAAGGAGGAAATCCTGAATGAGCTGCTTCAGCAGTTGTGGGCCCGACTCAAAACCGACCCATCCAAGGACCCCAGCCTCGTCGCCGACCACCGCATTCCCCAGATGAAGAAGTACTACTACGAGCACGATGCTAAGATCAAGGAACGGGAAACAGACACTCGAAGCCAGTCCATGAATGTACAGACCACTGGCTTCAAGATGGAAACCGCGCAAAAAATGCTCACCCATGTCGAGTCCGACCCGAACATCAAGATTGAGAACCCGTGGCATGTAGAGCTCATGGTGAAGGTAAAGGCTGTGTGGCAGGCTAAGGGCAAGCTAGATAAGGAGGAGACCCTGCTCAAGGACACTTTGGCTGACTTCGAGACGGCCGTGCACGGGAAGGCTGGCTTCGACAAGATCGTCAAAGAATACGAAGTCAAGCTGGGAGTGCTCACCACGTTCCTCACCGACCTGAGAAAGTCGTATGCCAAAGTCAGCAAGATCGATCCTTCGGATGAAGCCTTGTGCAAGACTGCCTTGGCTGAGTGGCAAAGTTTCGGAGAGCACATGTTGATTCACCAGGAGGGTGGTAAGCAGATGAAAGCCGGCATGAGGGCATTCATTCCCTGAGGGAATTACTTTTGAGTAGCAGCCATGGCATTTTGATCGTAGCCGTTGCTGAAACAAAGCCTCTAGCATCCCAAGGCCTTGGAATGTTGACAGTTCGAGCACCGAGGTGTGTTTCTTCGATTCGTCGTGGACCCACAGTTTGCAGCTTATGCTCCAGTGCGAAATACCTGTTCTGCATGCCTGCCTGCATGCCTGTGTACATGTCTATACAACAAAACCCAGCTGTGTACATCTATTATATATACACACATATATGTTATAGGTATATAGACACAGTTCCGGAGGTGCTGGTTCTCATGGCCCCCGATTGCGCGGATCTGGAGGAGAGACCTTCCCTGAAAAAAATGTTGTATCAATGCTACCATGATGAGTGCGAGTTTCTTCATGTTGGCTGACTCGCAGGACAAGCACAGCGACACAGGAATGAAAAAAAAACAGTCGTGCTCCATGCGCCAGCTTCTCTCAGCGACGATGCCTGCAACTCTCCCCTGGGGATGAAGTGCATGTTCAATTAATGTACTCGCCATCGTTTGTCTCAGCTACTTATTAAGGTGAATGGATGACTTCTAAACCCTCAAGCCCTAAACACCCTAAACCCTAAACACCCTAAACCCTGAACACCCGAAACCCTAAACACTCTAAACCCTAAACCCTTCACCGTTCCAACCTTTCACCCTAAACCTTGTTTCACAGCATCGGTTGCTGTAGATAGTACAAGACGTCTGTTTTGCTTATGCTGTCCAAGAATGCTGTGTATGAGAGCCATGCTTCCAAGCATGACTTCGCTGGTAGAAGGCTCCGGGAGAATGTGGCTGATTTATTTCTATCAGGATCTGTGAGTGCGAAGCGAGCCAGGTCCCTGTATGCTGACAGTCAACAGCACGACCCCAGAGAATCCGCCGAGCTTGCCCAAGTTGCTGACAGCAGCCATGCTCACAGAGATCTTCTTCGAAAGCTGAAAAAGGACAAGAAATGGCCAGGTGTTTTTTGCACCAAAGTACCCTTGTGGAATCGCAAAACATGTGCAGCTGAGACGGGGCCCATCGAGATCATGCTGCCCCACGAGCTCGTCAGTTGTATTGCTCTGTGGAATAACCATGATGACAGCTTTTGGAAGCTAGACAGCTTGAGAGCAGCTTGTTCGCAGCACTTGGATAATGTTTCCAAAGAGCTGGGATTTCGGGATGAGAGACTTCTCCCGATTGGTTTATGGCTTGACGGTGTTCCAGTAAAGTATGACAGGTCGGAATCCCTCGAGGTCGTCACGATGAATTTTCCTCATGTCGGGGGTGATCTTGCTTCAATGCGATTTCCCCTAACAGCACTCTACAAGGGACACTGTGCAAAAACTTCTACTCTCGATGCCATTATGCACGTGTTGGCCTGGTCGCTCACCTGCCTTGCTGAAGGTGTTTTCCCCAAGTATGGGCCACATGGAGAAGAGTTAAAAGGCAAACGTGCTAAACTTGCTGGCAGGAGCTTGCATGCAAAGGGCATATTGGTGGAGGTCCGGGGCGATTGGGCTGCATTCAAAAGTGTTTTTCGCCTACCAGCTTGGTCTCAGACAGATGCCTGCTGCTACCGATGCCAAGCCAACAAGACAAATCTCAGCTTCATGGACGCTAGCAGCACAGCTCCATGGCGACAGCTTCCACTTACACACTGGGAGCTGGTTGGTAGGATTTTTGCAGCACACGGATCATGTTCCCCCTTGTTTGCATGTCCGGGCTTCAAGACCGATGTTTTTGCAATAGATTGGTTGCATTGTGTCGACCAGGGGGTCGCGGCGGACTATTTGGGCTCTTTGATGCACACAATCCTCAAGGAAATCCCCGGAAGCCCAACAGAGAAACTGGCTTGCTTGTTCAAACATGTGCAGGATTTTTACAGACGGAGCAATGCTGAGTCCAGACTGGACAATCTCACAGCCGGAATGATCAAAAAGCAAAATGCTGCAAGCCCAAAGCTACGATGCAAAGCTGGCGAGGCTAGGTGCCTCATCCCGTGGATCTCTGAAGCTTGTGAGCACTTCCTCACTGGGGACACTGCTGAGCATCGGGCAGCAACGGATGCAGGGAAGTATCTGCAAGAGTGCTATTCCCATTTGAGTCCTGCTCGTTTTGATAGGAATAAGCTAGCTGCAGCCTGCCGAAAGTTTTTGCTTTTGTATGCTAGCTTGGCTACCCTGTACAGCAATCAGTCGGTCTGGCGCTTCAAACCCAAGCACCACCTTTTCCTTCACCTCTGCGAGGAAAGCTTGGACTCCCCAAGCTTGCATTGGAATTATCGCGACGAGGACTTCGGGGGAAGCCTGGCCCATATAGGGGAGAGAAGGGGAGGGGCTAACACAGCCAATGTTTTGTCTCACATTGCGTTGCAAATGTTCTATGCCAAGCACCAGATCCCAATTTTCGGCCCTCTGTAACAAACCAAGATCGAAGGGGGGGGGGCTTGCACAGCCCATGCTTGCATGCAGTCTCACCTTGTGTTGCGAATCTTTTGTGCCAAGCAACAGGTGCTTAATTGCTTTCGGCACTCTGAGAGAAACAAAGATCTCCATTGCACTGCAGGCATGATATATAGCTGCTCCCCTGGGGAGTGCTGCATTTCATGCTTCGGGGGCATGCAATTTTCATGATCTACTTTCGTGAATGGTTTTTGCTTGATGTTGCATGGCATGTGTGTGTGGTGTGTGCATGGTCTGTGGGGTGTAGTGTGGTGTGTTGTGTGTGGTCTGTGTGTGTGTGTGTGTGTGTGTGTGTGTTGTGTGTGTGTGTGGGGTTGTCTGGTGTGTGTGTGTGTGTGTGTGTGTGTTGTGTGTGTTGTGTGTGTTGTGTGTGTTGTGTGTGTTGTGTGTGTTGTGTGTGTGTGTGTGTTGTGTGTGTGTGTGTGTGTGTGTTGTGTGTTGTGTGTTGTGTGTTGTGTGTTGTGTGTTGTGTGTTGTGTGTTGTGTGTTGTGTGTTGTGTGTTGTGTGTTGTGTGTTGTGTGTTGTGTGTTGTGTGTGTGTGTGTGTGTGTGTGTTGTTTGTGTGTGTGTGTTGTGTGTTGTGTGTTGTGTGTTGTGTGTGGTGTGTGTGTGTTGTGTGTTGTGTGTTGTGTGTTGTGTGTTGTGTGTTGTGTGTTGTGTGTTGTGTGTTGTGTGTTGTGTGTTGTGTGTTGTGTGTTGTGTGTTGTGTGTTGTGTGTTGTGTGTTGTGTGTTGTGTGTTGTGTTGTGTGTGTGTGTTGATGTGTGTGTGTTGTTGGTGTCCATGTGCCACCACATTTAACCAATGTTTTTTGCACGTTAATTAAGGAAGGTGTACCTTTCTTATAATTAGGAACCTTTCTTATTTAAAGTTTGCTTAAATAAGCACGAAAGTTAATTAAGCAACATTGGGCTCTCTGGGATTCTGCATCCATCTGCTCAGCGTCACCATTGAACTTCAGGAGTTTGAACACCGGATCCGCTTCCACTGAATCAAGTAGAACTGTGCTAGCGCCGTTCCCTCGCACCTCTGGAAGCTGGGCACCTGCTTTTTTCAGCACGCATCCCTGAACCCCGCCCCCTCTCCAAACCGCCACTCCCACTGGCTTCGACGGCTGCTCCACCTAACACAGCTCACAGCCCCACATCTGAAACAGCAAAGGAAGCACGCAAGAGCCACCTCGCGGGTCTGAGCCACCAGCCCATGTTGGTCAACTCTGAACACCCATCTGCTGTGTGGAAGGCCAAGCTGCTCCTGCCGTGCTACGTGGGTCCAATTTTGGGAAGGCTGACTATGCAAAACGCAGTGGCAGCCCACTGAGTGTCCGCGGACGCATGGCTCTCGGAGCTATCGCTCAGCCTTGGCTGCATGGATGTTTTATGGGCTTCAAGACTTCAAGGCCGGCAAGATATTTACTGATCTGCAGAGCTTCGCTCTCCCAAGCTGTCCCAGTTCTTAACACCAGAAGGCTACAGTAAGCAAAAAGTCCTTGGCCAGGAGTTCGTCCGACGCTTGGCCCATGACCCCAGCTTCCGTTAACCGGGCAACGAAAAGCAGGCCTAATGAGATTGAAGCTACAAACCAGCGCTTGAGATCCACATTTTTTCATCAAGTGCGTCGTCTTCGACGGCCAGAAGGGCAGGGCCTTGGCATTGGGTGAAACTCTTCAGCCTTCTTGGAGGCACGGGCTGGTTCACAACACGTCGCCAGCAGACGCGCCACGCAGCACAAGTGGCACATTTGGCACAAGTGGCACAAGCGGGCATGCCCCTGCAGCTATGTAGATTCTCCCCCAAAGCTTTCTCTATCATGTAGTCCATAATCCACAGGCTCTGAAACCCCCCCAGCAGCAAAGTCAGAGGCCCCCTAAAGCAACCGACGGAGCTCCGGTATCGGAGCCAAAGCCCAATCACGCCGAAGCCAGATGTTCCGGCCTTGGACTTCAAGCTTCGTTGAGGGCTTGCATGGCTTTGCATGGCTTGTGCATGGCTTTGCAGGGGTTTGCATGGCTTCACGCGGAGCCTCCCCAACCTAAACCCCGAAATCCAACGCCTGCACTCGCTTCGTACACTCACCCGTGTCAATGCCCAGAGGCACACCGGGCGCGGGCGCTAGGAAGGAAGCAGACGCTCACCTGGGAGGAGCTTGGTGGCTGCAGGTGGCTTCAGGTACTGCTTGCAGCTGAGTTCAAGGCTGAGGGTGTTCAGGTTCAGGGCATGCTGGGCAATGTTGGGGTGAGGATATGCTTTTGGGCTTCAGGGCGGAAACCTGCTTCGACCACAACCACAAAGATCGTTACCGTTGCACATAGTCCCAGGCCTGCTTCCTGGGAGCCGGCGCCGACCTCCTTCGTGAGAGTGCGAGTGTGGGCGACGTCAGGGTTTGGGCGGGTTTGGGAGGTTAGGAAAGATGTTTGGTGCTCAAAGGAGTCTAGGCCGGGTCAGGCTTCAGCTCTATGTCTCGCCCTGCCCTGCGAGATTTAGGGCATGTGTCACTCACAGCGTTTGGAAGGGTCTCTTTAGGACCCGAGCGTCGACGAGGTGTGTCACTTCGCGCTTAGCGCCGCCGCTAGCCCCCACTCAAAAAAACCGCCCTTGAACTAGCAAAAGCCGCAATGGACCTGCAGAGGTCCCACCAGAGTCTTGCGCTAACCGCCCAACGCCAAATCCTGAAACTGAGGGTCCATAGACCTCTAGAGCCCAAACGCCGTTAGGGTTTAAGGATTAGGGATAGGGCTGCCACAGAGTTTAGGGTTTAGAGTTTAAGGCTTAGAGTTCAGGGTGAGGGCTTTGGGTTTAGGGCTTATGGTTTAAACCTTCGGGTTTAGGGCTTCGGGCTTAGGGCTTTAGGGTTGAAGGCTCAGGGCTTAGGGTTTAGGGCTTCATTTAGGCTGAGGATTTTACAGCTAGGCGACACCCCTAGGGAAGTAGCGCTGCTGAAGGCCCAGGCATCTTGCACCTTCGAATTGTATCTGAAGCCGGGAGGAAACCGGGAATGTTTCTTGTAAGCCTTTGGTTTCGGGGTTTAGGTTTAGGTTGAGGTTGGATGATACGTTTCTTTCCTAAGACATGGCTTCTTTGTGAAGCTGGTCAGTGCAAACCCCAACCTCTAAGCCCCCAAAACCCTCAAAGCTTCAAGACTTAAGGATTTGGGCCCCGACGATCTGGGTGTGCAGATACGTGCCATATTTCTTGCGCTGCGCTCACACTGCACTCAGCCCTTCCAATGATAACGTTTCGAAGCCCTCGACTCCGACGATGCCTCCTCCTCGCTATGCACAGCTGCCCTTTCACCCTGGTTTCCAATTGGCGGCACGTTGCATAAGGCCTGGGCATGGGAACTCCGATGCAATGGCGGCTGCCACAGCAATGCTTGCGAACGACACACTATGTGTGAGGTGACATAGCAGAACCACGCCATGACCTGCTGCAAGCACATTCCATTTCCAGCCAGCTTTTTGCGAACGTTGCTTGACAGCTCCTTCAAGCAAGTCGGCAGCACGCTCATGTACTTGTAACTGTCTCCCATAAGGAGCGTAGGCCAGCCCATAGCAAAGTCGACCTCGCTGGCAGTGAAGATGTGTTCCCGAGTTGCGGACACGAGCTGGGAAGATTTGGTGGATGGCGGAAGCAATGAGCTCACACGTGGTCGCGTCTCACTTTGAGTAACATCCACGATGATGGCGTTGCCACCCGGCCCACTCTCCTTCTTCTGAGCCTTCTCGACACCAGCTTGCATCCTTGACCAGGTGGCTGGAGGGAACAGGGACTTGAAGGGCACGTCCTCAAAATTTGAGAAGCATCCGCGCTTCGTAGCAAACTCAGCGCGAAGATCAGCAATGTTCTCAGGCAAGTCCATGCCTGCATACACATCCCCATTCAAGGCTGGGGCTTTTCGTAGCAAGTTCAGGAAGTCTGCTGTCACACATGGAGATGAAGCGGGCCCAAGCCACACGAGAGACCGCTGGTTGATTGCCACAGCATAAAGCCTGTCACGTGTGACAGGTAGCCCGAGGTCCTCACAAGCGTGAGAAGCAAAAAAACCCAGGTCTGCGAAGTTTAGGGTTTAGGGTTTTGTACGTTTAGGGTTTAGGGTTTAGGATTTGGTGCTTTGGGTAGAGACTAGCACAGACAGTAATGGAGGCTTGGAGCGCTGCCGGCTGCAACCGGCCTTTGCATTACAAAGAGGCTTCTTTTGGGATTTCTGGGCTCATAAAAAATCAACAACCAAGAAGAAGCGAAATCTCCGTGCACCAAAATATCTCAAATAGTACTAAAATCCTCTATGGCGAAAACCGGAAAATTTGGCTTAGAAAATTTGAACGCGATGAGGTTGCATGTCTCTTCCCAAATTAGGGTTTAGGGTTTAGGGTTAAGGGTTTAGGGTCGCAAATGCTCAGGTCCTGTGCGTCAAAAATGACATAAATGCACAGGTAACCGACTTGGGACAGCTCGTCTGCGAAGAGAGCGAAGGGAAACCGAGCGGAATTCTCCATGAAGATGAGATCGAGCTCGGAGTGCTTCATTTTCTTGATCCAGCAATTCCAGGATTCCATCGCAGGGTCGGCGTCCCCCAACTGCGGGCCTTGGCTCGTCCACGGCGTGCACATTGGACCTGAAAAGTTCATCTTCAACGGTCGCGTCTGCTCATTGTCCATCGACATTGACGGGCTCCAGAACAGGGGACAAGACTCACCCGGGTGCAGTTTGCAACACTTTGCAGAGGCACCCGCCGTGAACAGCTCACTTTCCAAAGCAGTCATATATGCCCTCTGCGCGCTGTAGCAGGCAGCTGCTGCAGAGCGGCTGGCCCGCTTCGGCGGGCGCATGCTGAGAAGTCGGTCACGATGGTCTTGGGGCAAGCACTCCAACAGCCCAGTGAAAACATGATCCGGGCAAAGGTTGTCATCTGGCCCACTATCTGTAAGAACTTTCAAAGCATCAGGTGAAATTTCATTGCCACAATGACAGAAAAGCCACTCATCTGGCAATCGCATACCCATGTCCTGCGAGGGGAGCAGACACGACTCTAACAGCATACATCCGACATGCTTGTTGTGCACAACAACTGACACTCGGCACATGAAGCTGCAAAATTACTTCGCTGTTTCTTGCGGACAGCAAGGCTCCCAGCTCTGAGACTTGCCTTTCTGTGCTGGGGCCGGCGGCCAGCTAAAGCATGGTACAAGATTCAAAATTCCCGAGCGAAGCAAGCTGTCTCGTAGGAAGCAGGAAGCCACAACCCTGATACATCCAAAGCGCGTGCGACTACATGAGGCGTATGTGGAAAACGTGAGGCCTCACTCAAAAATCAACAACTCTGGACTCTGGGCCGGACCTCATCAAGCTCGTGCCCCTCACGCCTCAGGCTTTGCCATTGGAGCCACCTTGGCTGCTGGAAAGGCCTTCGCGGAAGCCTTCGACTTCTTCATCTCTGCAGTGGCGAGGCTGTTGAGGAACTGAAGCCACGCCTGCTCCTTTGCCTCCACGTTTTTGGCCAGCATGAGCTCGTATTTCTGCGCACTGGCCTGCAGGGTTTCATTGAGCAACACACTTCTGCGAAGTCCATGCACTGCAGCTGCTGGCCCGTCCCCAACTGTCGCGTAGGACATAACCCACCCGGGCGGTACCACCAGAATCGATTCAGGCTCTTGGCTGCCGAAAACCAGGGGCGACTTTGCCTCGCTGATGGCCTGCAGGCGTGCCTGGTCCAAGCCAGCAACGTAAGCAACGATGTCTGCGGCAGAGATTTGCTTCTTGTCGCCAAGCGCTGATACAATTGCATCGACAGGCAAGCCATAGAACTGGCTGGTGCCTCCCACCTGCAGGCGGATGCTCCCAAGGAACTCATGCTCAAAGTCGCTGCTGATTGATGTGTCGTTCTCGCCGAACAAAAACCACTTGTTCGTTGCTGCCTCAAAGCGCGGGAAGCCATTGCTCACGCTATTCGGCGCAAGCATCTGCAGCAGCTCCTTCAAGGACTCGTCGTCGTTGCCACGGTTTGCGTCCAAGGGCGCAATGACCCGGTTGTTTGCCTGGCACACCTTCGAGCGAGGAAAGGTTTGGGCCCACACCTTCAAGGTGGAAGAGACGGCGTCGCTCTGCAGGATCTTCTTCACAGCTTCCGACTCCTTCAAGACAAAGGGGCAGGAGTACACATGTGGCTTGGCAGACTGCTCTTCTTTGAAAGCAGCATCTCCTGCGCAAACGAGCAGGGGCGCTGGCAACAGCACTGCCGAAAACTCCAAGCGGAAAGGATCCATCAAAGCCTGCTTCTGCAGCCTTCGCTTCTCATCCTCGGCTTTCTGGCTCTCAGCCTTCAGAGCCTCAGTTCTCTTCTGAGCCTCCATCTTGTCCAGCTGTGCCTTCCTTTTCTTGATGACGCTGTTCAGCTCTGTCGTGGCAGACTTCAAGCTTGCCCCGAGCTGACCAACCAAGAGGGCCTGCTCCTTCACGCGGTCCTGGACCTCATCGTGCTCTGCTGGATCAGCGGCATTCCGAATGCCTTGCACAGACAACATGACATCTGCCGCGGTCACAAGCGACTTCTTCTCCATGGGCAACATATTCCTCACATTCTCGATTGCCTTTTGCAAAGCCTCCTGGTGCAGCTGCCGCTGCGAAAGCGGAGGGCCATCATCCTGCAGCCAGGAGTTCTGCAAAGCTGCACGTCCGGCTTGCAGCGCCTGCTCCCGGTAAGTCAGCCCACCGTCTGTGAACCGGTCAGACTTTCTGACGGTGATCTTGTCATGCGGCTCCAACGTCTTGTCGACACCACTGCTCTTCACAAGCTCAGCCCAAGCACCCTGGATTTTGTCTTGGGGCACCGATGCACTCTCAGCTGCACGCGAAAATGAATCTCGCGACCACGGCTCCTGCGGCACAGAGGGGAAAACACGTTGAGCTTGAGAAACAAAGCTTTTGGGACCACGATTGCTACTGCAAAAAACAGCCCATCCATCCAAGACGTTTCTGAGGACCTGCTATGATGCTGGACAAATGGACGCAACGCCTACTGTCTTGCGCCTAAGATCCACCAAGAGGCTGGGCTGGGAAAGTTACTTCAAAATTTAACTTGGCAGATACTGCAAGAACTTCAACCAGGTCCTAAACATCACCCTAAACCCTAAAACCTTACACCCTATCCTAAACCCTGAACCCTAAACCTAGGCCCTAAACCCGAGGCCGGCGAAGCTCCCCCCTTCCAGTAGCACGCCACGCGAAAGAAAAAGCAAGCTCAGCGGCCCTGCAACCAAAGCGAGTAATTAGCTCAAAAAAAAGGGCTGCATGACGCACAAATCGCTTGAAGCGATCCAAGCAAGCCTAGACCTACTACTTCAACTTGAAATCGTAAAGGCAAGCCCTGACGTGTCCTCCACATCATACTCCAGCTTCTGCATTTTGAGGCTGCTGGCATCAGCACCGACAGGCAAAGAACCAAGCCAGTGGATGGCAATGCCGGCCCGTTCCTTCAGCAGCTGGAGCAAGTCGTCATCAGCCGATGCCTCGCTAGCCAAGGCAGCAGCCCAGGCCTTCTTCAGGGCCTCCTCAATCTTCTTCTCATGATCTTTCATGAGGGCATCCAAGACACGACAAGTCTTTAGCCTTTCAATGTCGAACTTGGCAGCTCGCTTGTCTGCATCACACTTTGTTGGGCTGGTCTGTGGAGGGGTCGCGCCACTACCTTCTTTCGCGTCAGCAGAGGCGCCATCTCCTTTGCCCTCGCTTAGCTTGCCGCCAACTTTCTTCGCCACGCTGGACACTATCTGCACGGCTGAGGCTGCGCCCTGACCATCCATGTTAGTTATGGCAGCAGCAGGCAGCGGGGCTGTCCAACTTGAAGCCGAGGACTTCAAGCAGGAAACATCACGGAACTGAAATCCACTGTCCAGCTCTGCCACAATTTGGCCGCAGTCCTGGTCTGAAATTCTTGACGACTTGGCAGTTCGCTCAAGCGCTCTCTGCTCTCCAACTTCACGCTTCCTCCTGTTTCTCTCTTCACCCGTCCAGCTCGGGGGTACGGCGACCCTGGGAGTACCGCCGAGTCCTCCCTCGTCTTTGTAAACAGTCGGGTCATGGAGCAGCTGCAGGAACTTAGTGCGCGAGTGTTCTTGGCTCCATCCCCGCAAGCTCCGGAATTTGTTGACGAATATTTCCTCGTCCCATAAGCAGTCGTCTTCGAGCCTGCCCTGAGACAGGGAGGCGTACACCCTGTTCACGTACTTGTTCAAGTTCAGCTGACCACCACGCTTCTTTCCACTGGCCTCCTTGCCATCTGGATTGTCGATGCAGAAATCCAAAACGACTTCATTGGCCAAAGTGACATTCGGTGGGGGGTTTCTGCCTTCACCGAATATCTTGTGGAAGTCAGCTGCTGCGTCTGGATCCACATAGAAGCCCTCCTTGTTCTTCTTGCAGCAGCGACCCTGGATGCACTGGAAAGCCCTCTTGTGCTTGCCACAAAAGGGTGAGCCCTTCGCCTTGGCATCTGGGCAAGCGCGGCACGAACCAGCTTCCTGCTGCGCGCCCTCAGCATTGCCCTCTTCAGACTGGCCATCTCCACCTCGTGAGCCTTGACGAGGCGCTGCCAGCCTCTCAGCAAGGCGTGGGCCTACAGCACGCTCCATGAAGTCGAAGCCTCCTGCACACAGACTGCCTGCTTCTGATGCCGTGGGAGGAAGGCTTGGGGCCAGGGCCGGCTTTGGCCCTGACGCAGAAGCCGGTGCAGACTCAGTCATGGCAGGAAAGCACACCTACAAGCTCTGCTGACCGACGCACGGCAGCACGGCCAAAAGCTCCACAGGTGCACAGTTAGTTCCTGACAAACCCTAAACCCTAAACTTCACCCTATACCCTAAAACCTAAAAAATCTTAAAATCTTAAATCTTAAACCCTAAACCCTAAACCCTAAATCCTAAACCCTAAACCTAAAAAAATCCTGAACCCTAAGCCCTAAACCCTAATCCCTAAACCTTGCAACGCGCAACGAGGCGCAAGCAGCAACTCCTTTGCGCGCAAGCTTGAGAACCCTAGGCCACGCCCCCGCCCCCCCTCCCATGTCCTTTCCTGCTATGTCCAGGATGCGCAAAGCAGCTTCCACGCTGCCTTTGCCGCTGTAGTCCGTATGTAGAACGACGCCATCCTGAAGAAGCGCCTCCGTGCGCCTCCTTCTCAAGAAAGCCTTGCGAACTTCAAGATCATCTTCGCTCACTGTGCCAAACAACGTGCCGAGGATTTCTGTCGGCCAGCAGCCCAAGCTCTCTGCTGTCTGGAAACCTCTCAGCACTGGCCCACCCGTCTGTCTCGCTGGGTCACTGTCGCCCAGGCGTGCCTTCTTGGAAGCGGGCTGCATGCCTATAGCTGCCTGGGCCCTCTCAACTGTTTTTGTCAACCCTATACTTCTAGGAGAAAAAGCATGTCGTATCAAATCTGCTGACAGCAATGACATGGTCTCTGCTCTCTTCTATGCGCGCTTCTGTACGTTCAAAGCAAGCTAAGCAACCCCCCTCTTGACCTTTAGCCTTTTCCTGCAGCGAACGCGAAAAGCGCGCGGAACGGGCGAAACTCCAGAATGGACGGGCAACGCCGACACAAGCACCGCAACTGCACTCAAGGTTTTTTTCGGGGGTCTTTTCCAAGGTTTCGGCCTGTTTTGCTCAAGATCGTCAACTTTTACGGGATGCGCGGATGGAACCGCTCCAAAAGCTTTGGGGGCATGTTAAATTTCGGGAAGATTCACGGACAGAAGACCACTCTTAGCGCCAGCGGCGCAAAGCCTCCGTGCAACCTGCGTGCAACCTCCGTGCACCTCCGTGCAACCTCCGTGCAACCTCCGTGCACCTCCGTGCAGGCCTCGTGCGCCTTCGTGCAACCTCCGTGCGACCTCCGTGCAGGCTTCGTGCGGCTTCGTGCGACCTCCGTGCAAGCCTCCGTGCAACCTCCGTGCGCCTCCGTGCAGGGTTTGTGCAGGGGTCGTGCAGGGGTCGCGTGGGCTCGCGCAGGGGTGGGGGGGCGTGGGGCGGGCATGTCGGTCTCCAGGGCCTTTTGCCTAGAAAACGCACGCACTTTAATGGTTTTTGTATGGCTTCACTCAAAAACAGATCAAAACGGCATGAGTTGCAGCACACGTGTCATTTGGGCAGCTTTGCGCCCAGCGGCTTTCTGAAACCATCCCCCCACCAGCCCCCGCCCCCACCCCTCCAAGCACCAACTGTGGCCCCGCAACTTCAACATGCCTTCTCACCCCACGCACATTCAGCCTGCAACCGTGGTTCTGTTTTTTGTCCCTAGTCAAGACCTGAAAACACGCCCCCACTCTACCCGCTCCGCCCTCCCCTTCCAATCTGCTGCCAATCCTAAACACTAAACCCTAAACCCTATACCCTAAACCCTATAGCCCCAAACTCGCCCTACACTCTAAACCTGAAACAGCCCACCCGCGGCGCGCAGGTCTGCGGGGACGCGAAGCATTCAAGAAGAAACGCCAAAGCCAAGGTCTTGCGAAAGCCCACGGCTTCTCTGCAGAGCATCCTGCTAGAGAAAAAAAGCGAGAAGGAGATGATAGATAGATGTATACACATATATCTTCTGCGCTGAAGTCATACAATTCGGGGATCCTTTGCACCCGTTTCGGGCCTCAGGCTTTGACAAAGATATGAAGGCACGGCCCCTAAACTGGCTTTATCGATGCGAGGTGGTTGCACAGAACAAAGGACTTGCAGCTTGCAGCCCAACTACACAGAGGCCATACTTTTCACACATGCAAACATGGCTCAACAAGGGCAACATACGCATTTGGCCTGATTTTCTGCATCTTGCCAGCGAAGACTTAAGCCTCCTCACGCCAAACTCCATGCTCATCTACCCACACATTTCGACTATCAAGCTCAGCCATGGACGGCAAAGCAGCTTCTTTGGGGTCCTTGGTTTTCTGTACATGCTCATCTCGTGTGGCCTTGGAATTGGCCTGCAAACACCAGTACTTCAAGAGGCGTTCACATGAGTCTGCGTTTCGGATATTGCCAAAGTTGCGTGTTCTCCTGCAGGCAACGGCATCCACATGCTCACACAAGTAGCACGTGGCTTCTAAGCCATTGGCGTTGCCCTCCTTGTCAAAAATCTGAGTGAATTTGAAACCCTTCCATCTGAAATTGCCGTCTCTGCGCTTGCGGTTTGGAGCTTCAGCCGGGCGCGCCGCCTCAGGAGCAGCTGCGTTCTCTGCTGGCCGCTCGAGACCAGGATTTCATCATCAGAGCTGCTACTGCTACTGCTGCTAGAGCTTGAACTTGAACTGGACTCTGACCTCGAAGCAGCGTCTGAACTTGAACTTGAACTTGAACTGCTGGAGGATGCTTCTGCTGATTCACCAGGTGCAATTGATGGCGGAGCTGCCGCCTCCTCACTGCACCTGAAAGAAAGGGCAGATGCTGTGGCGCACTGGAACTCGCCATTGTCATCCCAACCATCCTTGTCATCAATGCGCTCCTCAGAGTGAGAGCCAGCAACACTGTCTGCAGCGTCGCCAGCCTGAAACAGCAGCTCAGCCTCTTCATCCTCTACAGCGGCCACGGCCTGAGCTTCGTCAGAAGCCTGCGCAGGCTTTGCTTGTCTTCTTCTCTTGGCCACGCGTCTTTGGGCTGCAGCACGAGCTGGCTTGTCTACTAGCATTTCCACCTGGGCATCTCTATCGCCCACAGCCAAGAAGACAAAGTCCTGCTTCTTGCGCTTCGTGGAAGCGACAGGCGCCACTCCTGTCCAGAGAGCGGCGTAGAAACCAGATGTCTGGAAGTGAGGAACACATTCGCCATGTTCATCGGCTGCAAGCAACGCACGGAGATACTCAGAATCAATTGCTGAACTTCCCGCCCGCAACCACCACAGTTTGGCGTCACCTGCTCGATAAGGCGTTCGCGGGTGCTCCTGGACGGCGCAGTTCTTTTTGACTCGCTGACCAGCTTCATGCACTCGCAAGCTCCAACCTTCACGTTGCATGTCACACAACAGTTCAAAAGTGGTTCTATCCTTCAATTCGACATCTTCTCCTGCCGGACACAACACCATCTCAGAAACAGTGAAGATCTCTGAAGTTTGCAAGCGCTGCAGCGCCACCTCTGTCAGAGTCCATTCTGTCCAAGACTCCTTCGTCACTGCAGACACAAGGCCATGCGACCGTAGCACTGTCAACGCCTCAGTTTTGCATCCATCTGCGTCCATATGCCGAGGCAAGCGGAATGTCTTGTCTGGATGGAAGCGGTTGCCTTTGACCAGTGACCGGATGACACTTTGCATGAGCTGCGTGAACTCACAACCGTCCTGCAAACCAAAATCATACTGAAGAGAACCGTTGCCCTGCCAGAGCCTGAGAGTTGAGAAATCGTCTATCGACAGTGCTGCAGGATGTAAAAAGACAGGGCTCTCTTCGTCACCCAGCTTCAGAAAAAGTTGTTGCTTCTTCATGTCCACATGTCTCAAGTGAACTGGGGAAATTGCCATCCAGTCCTTGTCAGTTACTTGTGGGGCAAACCGGGGCACCTTCAAGTTGCTTGGACTTCGCGAGGTAATTGTGAACAGCAGCACGCCGTGGCAATTTGCCCACTCAGCCGAGACTGCAGAATCTTCGGCAGGCGCACGACGCTCAAGGAAATCAAAACTCTCCAGCGCTGGCAACACTTTGCACTCTTCAGGTGTGGGGTTTACATGCTGGGCCAAGTCTGTCAAGGCATGCTGCAGGTCTGTCTGCAACCGCGGCCCTAACGAAAACACATGGTGGCAATCTGGCTGCTGCTTCTGGTCAAGGAATTGGCGGAGATGCTCCACGGCATATTTGCACCAGAGAGAATCATGAAGAATGCCTCCCTTCGAGTCCGGTGTCAGACCGCCAGTTGCTGGCGGCGGTGGCCCACGATGACCGCCCTGCACGCTTCCTCCATCCTCAGCAGGAGCTTCAGCGGAACCACAAAGAGAAGGAGCATCTTTCAAGCCTGTTGGCCCAGAACCGCCAGGCGCATCACCCCCGTCATCTGCGATATACCCACCATCCTGAGGCAAGCCTTGGTACAACGTCTCCCTGTCTGCGTGATACAATAGCTCAACGACCCAAGGCCTGTACTTTCGGGCTAACTGCGATCGATCCACGCGCAAGATTCCGCGAACAGAGGGATGGAAATGCAGATTCACGGCCTGGAGGGCATGGCCAGGACTTCTTGTGAAACCACACAACGCAACCAACTGGCTGAACCCATGTGTCCGATGCAGCAAGAGCTCACGCAGCATGTGCTGGCAGCCTGAGAATGCAACATGTTGCGCGCTTACATGCGTCGCCTTCCTCAAGTTTCGCTTGATCAGAGCATGACGGCTCTCTACCCAGCGTTCAGACACGGCCACAAACTTATACTTGGCTGCAACACGGCGAAGCAACGGGAGTGCATCCAACGCTTCCCCTCCAACGAAAGAAGTCAACTGCGCATGGCCCTGCGTTCCAGGACAACACAGGAGATGCGCCACAGGATGCTGGGTCACCTGATCACCCATGGCAGCATAAAGCTGCAAAGCTCTGGCTCCACAGCGGCGTGCTGCGTCAGCTTCATGGTGGCCTAAACCCATGAGGACCCAGGGCAGCTGCTCCCAG